CTTGATTTACTAATACGCTATTAAAAAAATGTCTACAGAATGATGAGAGGTGGGCTGTGGTGGGCATCAGTACGTTTCAGATGGAGGTTTCATGATGATCGTTCTGATGACAATTCGAAGATAAAAACAACGACGGTTTTTGAAGTATGATTTAGTTTCTTTTTTTTATTTTCTCATTCATTCATTCATTTTATCACTATCTTTCAAATTATTCCTCAGTTAATTTATTCATTGATTCATTCTATTCATTCATTAAATCATTGGTTGATTAATTAATTAGTTAATTTATTCATTCAACAAATCGTTCAATCATTCAGTTAATCATTTATTCGTTCGTTCCTTTGTTTCTTGATTTACTACTTCGCTAATTAATAAAAACTTGTCTACAGAATGATGAGAGGTGGGCTGTGGTGGGCGTCAGCACGTTTCAGATGGTGGTCTCATGATGACCGTTCCGATGACAAATCGAAGATAATGTTAAAGGTAAATTTGTTTTTGTCTCACTGTACTTTTGAAAGTACTCGAATTTGAACAAAGATTGAGTGTTATCTCAAAAAGTTGCCTATTTTTTCCAATTGCTTGTTTTTTATTTTAGTTAATTAATTTTTTTTTCAATTTATTTTTCAGTATCCGGTCAAATTCATTCCATCGATGCGTGTCAGGTGATGGTCGGTGCAATGGAGGTTCGTTGGTAGTGAGTGAAGTTTCTGGAGAGTGCTCTCCCGCACATTTACATACACACACATCAATACAACACATACATACACAACATCCATTCATTCGGTGTCGTTGTTGCTATGTTTCTCTTCAACTTTATATTTTCTTTACCGTGAACCGGGCTTTAATTTAATTCATAGGTAAGTTAGGGACTGAGATGAGTTAAACAATTGTAGGTAGGCTAGGGCTTAACATTAGTTAAAAAGCTTCAAGTAAAATAAAAACGCTAAAATATGTTAAATAAAATACTTGAAACATCTAAAACGAGAAATACAAATTTGTAGGTGAGTTGAGTCAATGTTTATAAGTAAGCTAGGGCCCTGAGAGTAATTTTATTATAGGTAGGTGACTGACTATTATTCTTGCGACTTCTTACTAGTTTTGTGTGATGTGTTTGTTTTCGCTTCACAACACCACACCAACAAAACAAACTACATTTCATTCTCGTCGTCGCCTTAAATTGTACCTTTTTGAACAATCTTTTTAATAATGTCTATTTATTTATTCATTAAATGTTGACTGGTTTCTAGTTTTTTTTAAATTAGTTATATAATTTTTGGTTATTTTTTGATTTACTTTGTATATATGCATGTATAAATTATTTCTGTTTAGTATATTGATTTAGTTATTATGATATGTTGTGAACTGTTCTTACTAAATGTTCATGTTACGTGGTTTATTATCCTTCGAAAACCGCTAAGGAGTGTGTACGATAATAATAATAATGGATAATAATTATTTTTATCGGTCGATATTTTGTTATATTTGTTTATTTAAAATACGAATTTAAAAAAAAAGTTGACATTTTAAAATTTTAATTAACCGTCACTTTTCATTTTTGAATGATTTCAAATAAAAGCAACTACTGTGTTTTTTTTCTTTACTAAAATCTCGAAATTGTTTGTAGATCTGTACGGTTATAACTGTTTGTTCGAGTTTGAACAGGCCTTGCAAATTTTTTTTATTTATTTTTGTTTTTATTTTTGTTTATTTGGTTAATTCAATTTAGTTGATTGATTGATTGATTGATTGATTGATTGATTGATTGATTGATTGATTGATTGACTGACAGACTGGCTTGCTGGCTAGCTGACTGACCGACCGACTGACTGATTGTTTGATTGATTTATCTCATAGTATTGTATACATGAGAAAAAATCCGATTAAGCCAAGCTACGGCTTCAGTAAGCCACTGTTTTTCACCTGACAAAAGCAATTTCTATATTTATACTGACAAAAATAATTGTGATATGAATATATTAATTTATTTAAAGCGTTATATGTACAAAAAAGTGCTATCGTAAGAGTTCTATGAAACCCTGTAAGCCACTGCTGTAAGCCAACGTATGATTTCAGCAGCCAGTTTCTTATGAGCACCAGCAGAATGTAAAATATTCATTGAATATAATGAAGATAGTTGTTCAAATAACAATTTTGACTTATTTAGGCCGTTTATTTTACAAGCAAACCAATTTTTAACATGATCGTATAGTGTAAAAAAAAGGGTGACTATAGTTCAATCCTACTAAGCCAACCTTCGGCTTCAGTAAGCCACCGGATTCCACCGGACCAAAAGCAATTTTTATATTCAAATTAACAAAAATAATTTAATAATACATAATTCTATTAATCATTATTAAAATTAAATAGAATTACTACAATGTTTTAAGCATATTAAATCAAGTAAATATTTCATTTAGCTTGCTCGTTAAAATCCATGCAATTTCGTAAGCCAACAATCCAAGCACGACAAATAGCCCGACCGATAGATCGAATTGATCGATTAGTCCTATTATTCTAGTTATGTGGTTTAGAGCAAGGAGACATTACTGAAAATAATTAAAAGTTGAAAAAATTGAGGTTCTTTGCATATCTCTGCTTCAACCCATAAGAAGGTGTTGTATGTTGGTAAATAGGCCTCCCCTTGAATAGTATATATTACATAAGTAACACTGTAAGTGGTTCTGCTTATTGTAAGATCTGCAATAATAAAGACTAAAAATAACATCCATCCCTATTATTAGTTTGTCTTTATTACTTGACACTTTTAGTTTTGCTTCAAGTACCATGCACTTGTGTCGCCGCTCTGGTCCGATTTCTTAAAGTTCAGTTTTTTTTTCAATTTTACGATCCGCAGGTTTTGACGATTTAGTGACATTGGTTTTGACGAGTTAGAAATGGAGAAGCACGTTGGCTTCGACGAGAAACTTTTGTTTTTTGCATCAAAACATGATTTTGAAGATATAAAAAATAAGCATGCTGAATTGATCAGCCAACATCATTTCGTTCATGTGGTTGGTACGTTTGTTTTCTATTTTCTATCTATTTATTTATTTATTATTTATTTTATTGTTTAAAATATTTTTTATAGGAAATAAAATCATATATAAATAAATATATATATATATTTAATATTATATATGTATAAAATTATAAATAGTGATAGTCATCTCATAGTCAGTAGTTATGGTGCTTCATAATAATTTTTGTAATGTAGGAATTAAAATAAAGTGCATTTTGCATTATCACAAAACTTAAGCTTAATTTAAAACATTTCATTTTTTAAAGTTTATTTTAAAGTTTTTATTAAAATTAAATTAGTATTATGGTGTTTGAATTAATTTTTTAAACTTGAATTATTTACTAGTTTTTAATAAGAAATTGAGTTAATAATTGAAACATAAATGATAAATCATTAGAAATTCAACATTCATTTTTAAAGATTTATTTATGAATTATATCAATAAATTTTTAATTATAAAAAAACTTCATTTTGTGTAATTGTAATCCAAACTTTGCTTAAAAAAAAAATGGTCGGCTTGTAGAGAGTAGTTGTTGGATTTATCTGCCACTTGACTGGATGCAAACAATGAAAGACTGCTAAAACTTCATTAGATGTGATATAATATTATAATTAAAATATTGTTAAAAACCCCTTTATAAAAAATTGTTTGAATATATAAAATATATTAAAAATATATAAAAAAGTTTGAGAAATCTTGATATGTTTGAATCAAGTTTTTTTTTGATGGAATAATTAATAATATTAACATTACTTCACACCTGTGCATATTATTATTAATATAATATAGCATACTCATGATTTCGTCATTTGTTTAAATGAACTTCAATTTATATATGACTGGGGATTTTAATAATTTGTGTGTTTTTTTTTGTTAGTTCATTCATGACATGGTAAGGTAAATAAATGGCAATTATGGGTTCATGCAAATGATGTGAGGTCTTCAATGCAGGAATCTAAATAAACAATTATTGAGGAAATGGCAAAATGGCCAGAAAAACCTTCTACAATTCTACTGAGATCTCTAGAAATAGTCATTTGTACACGATTGTACAATGCCAATAAAAATAATTTATGATCATTTTTTGTTCACGACTTTTTGCCAGGTTACAAGGCACAAATAACATTTTTTATTTAGATTTCTTTGATTATTCCTTCCCCGGAGAATTTTTCAGTCGACCTAAGCAGTTTGATTGGAACAGCAAAATATTTTTCTGCCAAACAAATAACACTTTCCAGTTTTATCAATTTGAACTTTATTGAAGCTTTTGTAAAAAGAGGTTAGTTTGGTCTGCATTTGATTTCTTTTATTATTTTTCATTCATTAAAGAAATAATTCAATCAAATTTTATACAACACCATACTATTTTCAATTGTTTTCCCAAACATTTGACACAATCTTTCTTTCAAGCAAAATTGAAAAGCAGAATGATCAATCATACAAATGTAGCATGTTTTGAGAGCATGTTATGTTATTTTATTGTATGTTCTAGCTTCTTCATAATATTTCGCATTTAATGTTAAATCAGATTAATTATTTTTGTTATGATTCATGTTAATTTATTTTGGAAGGTTCTCTGTCATTGATGTCAACAAATACAAAAATTGATTCATCGTTTTGTTTGTGTGTCCTTCCAACTGGTATTTTCTTCATTATCCTTTATTTAATAGTCATATATATATATATATATATATATATATATATATATATATATATATGTTTTATTAAATTGAAGGAATGTATAAGTATATATATATATATATATATATATATATATATATATGTTGGTAATAGACCATAATTTTTACAATATTCTATAAATTCTACCGAATGTTTGGCGTTAATATGTTTGTAGTTCGTTTTTTCTATTTTTCTCCCTAAAGNCTTTTTTGGTGAACGTTTAGTTATTAAAATCAAAAT